CCACAACGCCCGGCTATTTTTTGGTTGTAGCCGTCATTGTTGTTTGGCGGGTCGGGGCTGGGTTTGAACCTGCCACCTCCAGCATATGGGGCTGGCACCCTACCCATTTGAGCCACAGGTGCCACCTGAAAAGGCTATTTTTTAAGTTTTTTCATCAGAGAATTAGGAAATGAGGCATGTTAAACTTTAGACCCCTCTTGAAAATGCTGCTATAAAGAAGCTTCAGTTTTAATTTGAAGTTTTATGGCATTGCATTTGGGTTTATGAATTGGGGGTTTCTGGAATTGGTGGTTAATAACGGACTGTGGGCATGTGCAGCTGGTGTTTGTAGAACATCATGGAAGTAGGACCATTTGTTACCCCCAGAGAAAGGTTTGCTACTTTAAGGACAGCTCAGAAATTGGTGTGCTGGTATCCTGAGTTTGTAGTTCCAGAGCTTACAATGCTATGTGGATGGTCAGCTTTGCAAACCAAAAACAATCATTTCAGTTTAATTGTCTGCCAGCTCTAATTTTGGCTTTTCAGTCAGTTGTAGACAGTGAGGAAAAATGAAATCCCAAATCTTTTGTCTTCTGGAGGTTTCTTATAGATCCCAAAGAACATAGTGCTTGTGCTACTTTTTGCTTTTCTTAGAAGACAGAAAGCCTATCAAGAGTTTCCCAGGACAAGAACAGGCTACATCAGCAGTTTCCTCAGCTGTCTCTTAGAGACTCTTTGGAAACTGTATCTTTATAATGATACCAGCAGCAATTAAAGCTTGCAAGACATCTGAAAGGGAAAGCAAAGTAAAACCAAAACAAAACCAAGAAAGTCAGAAAATATAAATGTCTGAGTTCTGCATGCAAATATAATCTAAGTCATAGACCAGATAATTTGGGACCACACCTACATTAGCCAGAATGTCAGTCCTCTCTGATACCTGCAGCCCAGCCCGTCCTCATCTGTCTATCTTGGTTTGAGCTCTCAGGCCTGTTTCTGTGGTATGTTAGTTTCCTCTGCCTTTTACCCTGGTAATTGGCCCTTGGAAGAGAGACCCCCTTCTCACTCAGGCCTTAACCACTTTTGCTGGCCCCTCTCTCTCTCACAGCCCTGGCACTACTTTGCTTTCCTCTCCCTTTCCCTAGAGGTCCCAGGAAGTCCAGCCCTGGCCTGCCCCAGTGCCCTGCTTTCTATCCTGAAGACTGTCTGAAGCATGGCTAGGCTGGAGGTCACACTGGCCATGCCCACCTGTCACTCTAATCGATCTCTGAGTCTTGGTCCCCTGGGCCTGGCAAGTGCCTTCTCATCACCCTGAGCGGTTCTGCTGGGCATCTATTCATTAGCAAGAAGCAGTGTTTTCATTTCTACCTATTTGGTTGCCCTCTCTCCTTTTGATCTCAAATTTTTTTACTTTGGAGGAATAGCTCTAGTTCTCAAATCACAATCACAGCGAAAAGAGCTGAGTCCGCAACTGACTAGTCATTTATTCTACTTTTCTTTCTTTCTTTCTTTCTTTTTTTTTTTTTTGGTAGAGTCTCACTTTATCGCCCTCCGTAGAGTGCTATGACATCATAGCTCACAGCAACCTCCAACTCCTGCGCTTAGTCCTGAGTAGCTGGGACTACAGGCGCCCACTACAATGCCCGGCTATTTTTTTGTTGCAATTTGGCCAGACTGGTTTCAAAAATGCCACCCTAGGCCAGAGCCCTCCCCACTGAGCCACAGGCACTGCCCCATTTACTCCACTTTTCTTCTCCTAACTCTTTTCACTTTATCATACTCTTACCAACTAAAAGCCAAAATCAGCCCATGTTTTTGAATAATTATTTTGAGCTTTCCTCCGGCTTCCTGGTAAAAGAAGGTATGCGAGTCCCAAAGCCTCCTGCTCTGAGGACTGAGGCTGCTAAGGAGTCACACTGTACAGCTGACAGGCCGCAGGTTTAGGACAGTGTCTCCTGTACCAGGAGCAAATTGCTGTACAGTCTCATACTCTAAGAGATAGTCTTGGCTTCACTTAGAGTGGCCAGTAGGCTAGCTTAGGCTGTTGTTAAAAATAAAATACTGAGGGCAGCACCCGTGGCTCAAAGGAGTAGGGCGCCGGCCCCATATGCCGGAGGTGAGAGGTTCAAACCCAGCCCTGGCCAAAAGCTACAAAAAAAATAAATAAAACACTGAGAACCAAAAGTGCAAATGCACTTTTGGCCAACAACAGGTCTCCAGGTTCTGATGATTAAAAATAACTGCCCTTGGCTCGGCACCCATAGCACAGTGGTTATGACGCCAGCCGCATACACTGAGGGTGGCAGGTTCGAACCCAGCCCAGGCCAGCTAAGCAACAATGACAACTGCAACAAAAAATAGCCGGGCGTTGTGGCAGGCGCCTATAGTCCCAGCTACTTGGATGGCTGAGACAAGAGAATCGCTTAAGACCAAGAGTTTGAGGTTGCTGTGAGCTGTGACACCACGGCACATAGTGAGACTCTGTCTCAAAAAAAATAAAATAAAATAACTGCCCTCATGTTCAGATACTTTTTCTATGCATCTACTCAACTGAACACTCTTGATACAGTGGAAGCATAACTTTGCTTTCATTTGT